TATCCTCTCTCCTTATTATTAAAATTTTTGCCATTAGCTTGACATTTTCATATTTTTATAGAATATTAAAAAAATCGATACGACTCGTATAGACATAATATTAAAAAGTTAGAAGGTAAAATTTATGGTACCGTCTTGTAGCTTCGTCGAGATGGTACAGCTCAACGGAGGGGACGAAGTCAATTCCAAGAGTATACACTCTGACGGAGCTAAAGACGGCAACGAGGAACTTCCGGCCGGACAACATGGTCGGGGATGGCGGATTCGAGAGGATCTTCAAAGGCTGGGTCGACGACGTAACCTACGCGCCGTCCAAGGTCGGCGTCGGAATTGCCGTCGCTGTTACAAAGTCAAACCCGTACAACTCTCCGGGTCTCTGCCCGTGCGAATGGAAGGTAATTAAATCGCTTCCATCTTCTTCTTTTTGCTCTCGTTATTTGGGACCCTATTCATCTCTTTGGACTTCTATTGAATCGAGAAATAGGTTTGATTGTGAAACTTTTTAATTAATTATTTTATAATTTTATCTTTTGTTTATATATTGTAACTATTATTATTATTACTATGGTTATTATCAGCAACTTAGTTGATTAAGTTTAGTAGTAATTGACAACTATTTCTAATAAAAAGATCATGAGTTCTAATCACTCTTCTCACTTGTTATACTAAAAGTATATATAAACTTTTTTCTAATTAAAATCTAGATCATTTTTCTTTATATAAAAAATTAAGAGTACGTGGTAATTAATGCTGAGCTATCCGCGTTGGCTTAGACAACTTTTATTAGTTGACGTAATTTTATTATAATAGTGATGTCAAACAGTTCTAACATCGATAGGTTTCTATAACACGGATTTCTAATAAGTAAAGGAGATACTAAAGAAAAAAGTTGGATGGAAAATAACATGAAGATTTAATAATAAAATTTGAACAGAGGGAGGTGGGATTTTTGGCGAAGTTGAGGCATCCGAATGTGGAGAAATTGATCGGTTATTGCTACGAACGAAAACAACTTCTTCTTGTTTATGAGTATATGCCAAAGTGGAGCTTGGAATACCACTTATTTCGAGGTAACCCTTAATTTTGTTTCTTATTTGGTAATTATAAAAATATTTTTAATGTTTTGAAATTTTAAAATGCATAATTATATTAAAAATTATATAAAACTTTAATAGGTATACTAGTTAATGTTATAAACGATGGTAAAACCTAATGTATTATAAATTACATAATTATTATTTATAACATAAATTTTAATATATTAATTAATAATATTTTAGATTAAACTAAATATTTAGTTGGTAAAAGAATTTTAAATTGAGATTTAAATTTCTAAATTTACTACAAACCACCGATCAAACCTATCATAAATTTTTTATTCTTGAACCTCTTTTTGTTTTATTTTTCCTTTTTGTGTCACTAAAAAATTTCTAATATTTACGGGAGGTGTAGAGCCCCTATCATGGGATACACGGATTAAAATTGCAATAGGGGCGGCGCGTGGCCTCACGTACCTCCACATGTTGGAGAATAACGTGATTTACTACGACTTCAAGCCATCCAATATTCTACTCGATGGGGTAATTAATTAATCCAATAATTACCGAGATTTACTAGTTAAATGTGTGTAATTACTTAATTAATTAGCTAAATTTTTATATATAGTCTCGATGTTTAAGAATATTATCACGCAGGACTTCAACCCGAAGCTGTCAAATTTTGGGCTTACCAAACTGGGTCCATCCAATGGCAACTCTCACGTGAGCACGAAAGTAATTGGCACCTACGGTTATGTTGCTCTCGAGTACATTGCAACCGGTATTGCCTTCCTTCTCTTTCTTTTTTTTTTTCTTTTACTTAACAATACTTGAGTGGAGATCGAACTATGGACTACGGACTCTATTCTATTAAAACTATTAAAACTTTCTTCTTAAATAATGGACCAACCGTTTTGGAGGATTTTTTTTTTTTTCCTTTTGAGTTATGTGTAAGAATGAGCCTCATTCTTAAATCCATTATTTGTTCAAAATTCAACCAAAAAATAGTGAAAGTATTAATCAATGCGATTAAAAAGTTAAATCTAATAGATAGATCCAAAACATTGATTAAATCAATTAAATTTCAGTAATTAAGTTATGTACTTAACGGCAGAGGTTGAGTCAATTCAACTGTGTTTTGATTGTAGTATAGGCTCATAGACCGAATAGTTCAGATTTGGACTTTGCAAACTCAAATCTCAATTATTATAGACTATTTTCATTTTTACAATCATTTTTATTCTTGTTATTTTATGAAAAACAATTCACCTTCTAATATTTTGGAAATGACCATAATTGAACAGGACATTTGTACACAAAAAGTGACGTGTACGGGTTCGGAGTGGTGCTGTTGGAGTTACTGACCGGACTCCGAGCAGTGGACCCAAACCGGCCCAGTGGGTCTTACAACTTAGTGGGTTGGGCCGGGCCATTACTGACAACCGAGAAAAAGATAAAGAAACTAATGGACCCGAGGCTCGGAGAGGACTACTCGCCCAAAGGAGCGTGGGCCGCAACCGTATTGGTGTTCAAATGTTTGGAATCTGATCCTGGAAAGCGGCCTTCCATGGAAGAAGTTCTGGAGAATCTAGAAAAAGTCAGTACCTACAGAGACAGACCCAAGGAGCCCAAATCAAATGTCCGGACGCCCACCCGCTATGGATTTTTGGGCTCACTTGAAACACTCATAGCCCAATGTTATTGGAATTCGAGGCCCAATTAGATTTTCGATCCACTCTGTGTGGTTTTTGAACTATTGGAAGTGGTAATATATTATTCACACTTTTTCATTTGCATTTTTTTTTTTAAATTTGTAGATGTGGTAGTGTACGTATCCATCCAAGTTGGTCCTCTTTTCATTTTATAAAATATGAAAATGTTACAATATCCTTTTTTGGTAGAGGAAGGCATTTGGTTTTGGATCCATTATTGATATCCTCTCTCACGTTTCAAAAGCACATGTGGGGGTGGGGTTGGAGATATATGTCAATTACCATTGAGCTATGCTTGGACATATGCTGTCATCTTCCAACAGTACATTATAAGATGGTTCTTAGGACAAGAAGAACCATTGTACTTCTCAAACTCCGACACCTTGAATTTTAGAGGGATGACTAATCCAGACACCAAGCACAATAAAAAACATATATGTCCTCAACTGTTCTTAGTCTTTCCTCAAGAACTTCTAGCTTCTCATTATTGGGGACACTTCGTCCTTCCGAGTCATTTTTTGTCGGGGGATCACCAAGATTAAGAACTGTATGTGGTGCCATGACCTGCTTAGACTCTCGAAAGATGATGTTGGTTGGGACTTGCTGAGCTAGATCATAAGATTTAAATCCTTCTAGTTATTTCTAATTTGGACAACCATGATTAAAATTTAAATATTATTGGATAAGATTAAAAACAAAAAGAGAGAAAGAGATTTTTTTAAGGAAAAAAAGCAAGAAAAGAAAAAAACCAACTTATATTGTCCTCATTGCTCATTAAAATTGAGTCTCTTGACTCTCCTCAACAAACCAACAAATAATAATAAATTTTATAGAACCAGTCAAACTCTAAAAAATAATATATATATATATATATATATATATATATATATATATATTTTATATGAGACATTTGTTTATAGATTCGAGATAATTGACATTTCTATAATATTAAAGAAAATCGATAAAATATAAAAAATATCAATAAAAATATAACTAATATAGATATAACATTCACATTAACCATATAAAACTTATTTCGAGACAATTAAATATTTATTTGTTAATTTAAATATTTTTTATGGATTTTTTAAAATATCCATTAACATTAATATTTTATTGATATTTCTATCACATTTTTGTAAAATCGAGATGTCGACATTTATATCAACATTGGTATTAAAAATCTTTCTCTCTCCTCTCCTCTGCTGCTAGGTCTCTTCTTATATACTCAAACTATTTAAATCAATTTACGCTCGTTTATCCAAAGAAAAACAATTACCGCTCAATTTTGACACTCAAGCAACCCGCTGAAAATTAAATTAGGGGAGACTACGAAGAACACTCCATCTCCATGTTCTCCTCCTACAAAACCAAACACCCAAGATTAGTTCAAAAAAGGGAAAGAAAAAAAATTAGATTTTTCAAAATTGAAACATTATATTATAATGCATGAAAAGTTAGAAGGTAAAATTTGTGGTCCCGTCCCGCAGCTTCTTTGAGATGGCACAGTCCGATGGACAGCAGGACGAAGTAGATTCTGAGAGTGTATACTTTGACAGAGTTGAGGACGGTGATGAGGAACTTCTGGCCGGAGAACGTGGTGGGAGATGGCAGATTCGGGAGGGTCTTCAAGGGCTGGGTCGACGGTAATATTATTTTTTTTCTGACATAAGTTAGCTCAGCGGTAATTGACTATTTATATTTTTATTTCTAATTAAAACCTAAACTACTTTTTGTTTTTTAGTCCAACAAATTGGGACCATGAGAGTTTGGACTTTTAACATTCTGACATTAAAAAAAAGTAGGGGCAATGAGTGAGCTATACTCACAAGACTACTTTTATTTTTATTAGTTGAAAGTGATTTTATTATAAAATATAAGTTTACCATAATTGAACAGGCACATTTGAACATTTGAACATAAAAAGTGATGTATACGGAGTGGTGCTGTTGGAGTTACTGATCGGACTCCGAGCAGTGGATCCAAACCGGCCCAGTGGATCTAACAACTTAGTGGACTGGGTCGCGCCGTTACTGACGAGCAAAAAGAAAGATAAAGAAACTAATGGACCCGAGGCTCGGGGAGGACTATTCGGCCGAAGGAGCGGGCCAAAGCCGAATTGGTGTTGAAATGTTTGGAATCAAGCGGCTTTCCATGGAAGAAGTTCTGGAGATTCTAGATAAAGTTAGTACCTAAAGAGACAGGCCCAAGGAGCCCAAATCAAAGCCCACCCGCTAGTTTTGGGCTCACTCCAACCACTCAAAGCCCAATCTTATTGGAATTCGAGGCCCAGATTTTTCATTCACTCTACGTGGTTTTGTACTATTGGCTGAACTTCTTCTTCTTTTTTTTTTTTGAATACTCTGTTGGCTGATTTAAGTGGTTATATATGTATATTATTATTATTATTATTTTCGCAATCACACGTCTTTTTTTTAGATGTTTTATAGTGCATGTATCGATTAAACTTGGTCCCTTTTTATGTCCTGGTTGAAAATTTTTATTTAAGTGGTATGGTGACATTTTTTTTTAATATGATATATGTTAAATAATATTTTTACCAAGCTAGCTTAAGAAGTTTCTAGAAGCAACTAAATTAAGTATTTTGCAAACTTACCTAATAAACTTTTCTTGGAAAATTGAAGTCATTGGAAGTTACTAGATTAACATGTAGCAAAACTGTGGCCACTAGATCATCACGTTGTCCAAGACCACAATATAGAAAATTTATATGACCACTAGATGGCACGTACACTATGTACAAGGCTAATATGTGACATATTTGTAGCCGTAGAAATTTGCTTGATGAACAAATATGGTTGGAATATAAAGAGATGGGCACCCATGCTTGGCAACCCATCCTAATCCCAAAATCACCAATTTCGAGTAAGCCTTGTGAGATAAACTAGAGAGAGTTTCTCCTCTTATAATTAGAGATCGTGTTCTTTATAAGTTTATAAGAGAGAAAGTTTGTAATACTCCTACTTTTGTTTTTTGTAATTCTTCTATCCTTACCCATGGTTTTTACTCTAATTCGAGAAAGTTTGTAATAACTTTTATTCTGTTGAGTATAATTCTTTTATCCTTACATGTGGTTTTTACTCTTATTCATTTAGGAGTTTTCCATATAAAATCACCGTGTCCTTTCTTCTCAATCCATTTTAATTGTGAACCTACTCTATCCAGTTCCAATCCCTTTTTCTTTCCAAGAATATATAGTATATTCGTCATACTAGATAAATAAATGATATACTTCATCGCTAATAAATCTTCTTCCTATTCCAATTTTTTTATCTAAGTATATATTTATCTTCTTCTTCTTCATTTTAAATCCCTTATGGAATAAATACTAATTAGGTGTCTCTTCTAAAATACTTTTGTTTTTTAAAAGAATTTTTAAATTTTCAAAATCAAATTGGACTACCCAACCAAAATTAAAAGTTTGAAAAGCTTTTTTTTTCATCTTCATATATGTTTTCAGAAAAAGCCCATGTCTCCTTCTAGATTTCAGATATCTGTATGAGTTTGATTTAATAAGCTTCGTGTCCATTAAAAATGACATTAATAGAAATTTTCAACTGCAATCTTACGGTTTAATTTATTTAGTCCACCATTCTAACTCAAGCTTCATCATCCAACCACAGCTGATGGATCAGGATTGGAATGTTTCGATTAAGCATATCTATAGAAAGGCCAATTACTGTGCGGACTGGTTAGCTATCAGAATCTGTCGACGCCCTCTTGGGGTCCATATTTGTGAAAATCCTCCTTGAGGGTTATATCCATTGCTGATGACAGATTTATCTAAGGCCACCATGCCCCGTTTAGCTATTATGTAGGTTTCTTTCTGGGCAATTGCCCCTTCTCGTCTTCCGAAAAAAAAAGTAATATATTTTTGTTTTCCGTCGACTCTGATGGTAGACATCCATAAATTTGGAGACACATTTAAATTTTTAGTAAATTTTCAAAAATAAAAACAACTTTTTAGAAATAATTTGGCTTTCAGAATTTTAGTTTAGATTTTGAAAATATTTTATAAAAATAACACAACTGAAAAATATTTTCTAAAGTCGTGATGCTTTGAGTTCGAGTTGGAATGCACGGTAGTCGAGTTGAACCGTTGGAGTTCTCGGCCCCTGTTCGACGCCGAGGCCGACGCCGACTGTCGCAACGTCATCGCGACGCGGAGCGGCCGACATCATCCCCTGAAGGGTCTCTTTCGAGATAAGGGTTTGGAGTCGCCACCAATCATCTAAGAGGTGTGATTGGTCACCTAAAAAAAAAAAATAATTTTAAGTTTAAGGAACATCAAGACTTGAACTTATGACATGAGTGTTGATACTAAAACATCACACCAATGTGCCACCACTTTGATATATAAGTTATGTTCCTTTTCAAAATACATATTTTGTATTTTTGAATTTTGTTTAAAAAAAAAAAGAAAAAAAAACTCTAAATGAAATCTTTTATTTAAAATAATTATTTAGTAAAAATGAGGCATGTAAAGACTCGAACTTGGGTTATTTACATTAAAAACAAACATCTTACCACTGTGCCGACATCTTAAGATGTAAACATCATATTCTTTTACACAAACAAATGTTTTAATTTATTTTTTTAAACTAAAAAAAAACTACAAATTTTTTTAAATTAAAACAAAAAAATATATCTTTTTTTATTTATTTCGAAATTAACAAAATAATTTAAAAGAAAAAAAATTTTATTTAAAAACAAAGTTAAATTTACTTTAACAAAACTTATTTGCTAAAAAACTGATTTTTTGTTAAGATTTTTTGAAAACCATAACCACCAAACCATTAAAAGAATTTTAAATGAGATTTTATTCTAAAATACTCTGTTTTTATCTCCCTCTTTAAAATCCTACAGCAGAATATTCTTTTTTAATTAAAAAATCAAACAAAGGTAACACAAAAAATATAACCCTTGTAAAAAAAATCATTTTAAATAAAAACTACATTTTAAATAAAAAGAATCCAAATTTAAAAGAATCCAAATTTTTTTAAACAAGATTTATTTTATAAAACTCCTTTTTTTTCAACGTATTTTAACCAAAGTTTTAAAGTAAAATATTTTATTAAAATAAAATAAAATTTATATTTATTTCATTTAAAAAAAAACTCTTCTTATTTAGAAAAAGAAAACCTTTTATTTTAAAACAAATTTTAAAATATCAAAATCCTTATTTTATTTTCAAAAACTTATTTAAAATTAATTTAGAAGATTTTTTTTTTCTTACAAAAAACATTTTCTTTTAAAAAAACTAAAAAAAAACTTTTTCTTAAAAAAACATTTTTTTCTTAAAAAAAACAAAAAAAAATCTTTTGATAGAAACAAAAAAATCTGTTTCAAATTAAAAGCATCATTTCCAAAGCCTTTCCCTTTCCAACGTATTTGATACTTACTTAAAAACGCACTACCGGGGAGGAGATCGTCGGAGTGCAGCGGGCTTGGAAGAAGCTGTGAAGAAGAAGGTTGTTGCTGCTGTCGTTCGCGTCGTCGGAGATCATGGGTATGCAAGAGAACAGTGGTGATGGTGGGATAAGAGAGATGGAGAGAAGAAAATACGGTGATGAGGTGATGGGTTTCTAACTCTCTACACTGTGTGTCCCTCTTGTGTGCTTCCTCCCCTTAAATACTAAAAAAAAACAACTGTGATATATGTTAAAATAAGAAAGCCAGAGAAAAGGGAGGAAGGAAGGGGAAGAGGAGATGCCACGTTAGGTTTTGACCCGGAAAAAATCAAAGGGAGAAAAAAAAACTGTTAAATAAAACAAATTTTTTTTAAAATAAAATTATTTACTTAAAAACAAATAATTTTTATTTATCTATTTTTATTTTAATAATAAAACAAAATCTAAACGAATCATTTTTTTATTTTCTTATTAATAAAATTAACATTTAAATAAATCTAACACTTTAATTTTAGTTAATTTAAACTTTATATTAAAACTAAAAATAAAGTAAACCTATGTTATTCTTTAATTAAAATAAACCTCAATAAAGTAAAATACAATAATATAAATTAAAATTAAAAGTAAAAATAAGTYGGACCAAATACGGTGTCTACACCGACCATTGGTCGATCGGGGCTGACTCGAATCGTTGAGCGCCGGCTCCCTTTCCTGGTTCGTGCCCTCTCTTGGTTCTCCATCTATCTTCTGTTGTCTGATTAGATCTCGTTTTATCTCCCCCTAACAAATTTAAACTAATTCAAAAGAAATCTATTTCTATGAAATTTAACGTTTTCCCACATTTATAGTAATTAAAAGAAAAAAAAAAGTTCCAATTCACATGAATTTATTATTTATTTTTTAAAACATGCGAAACAGTAAAGAAAAAAGAGAATGTATGATTAAAAAAGAAAATGAACATTTGGAGGTTCAAACCCCTRCCCCACATGTTGTAYTAAAAAACTGTATAACCCATAAAGGCAAGGACATAATGGATCATTCACAAGTCATAAAACTTTGATTTACCAAAWTATATATGTTCTTCTATATAAAATTTATTGTAAATATATTTTTTCGATTAAAAGAATTTGAAGGTTCGAAATTGTTACTTTTATACCCTATATTCAAACCGTTGAACTAAAAAATATATATTTAAGAATGCCTAAATTTTTATATCTTTAAATATAATATAAATCTGATTTTTATTAGATTTGAGTTTGAATTTTATTTGAATTACATTATTGTCGTACAATTYTGGAGTTTATACTTTATTCAAAATATATATCTATGTTGCGTTATTTATGTAATTACCTAAAAAATCTAACCATCCCATCAGATAACTTTCTATAAAGAACAATACCATAGTACCTACTTTCCCCAACGCTAGCATTTTCAGAACTGACAAAATTGTACAATTCTGTTAAAAACGAAAAAAAAAAAAAGGAAAAAAACATCACATGGTGTACAGTATTTGAGAGACAGACAACCACTCCATTTGTTAATTATTAGAGTTGTTGGAGTTATTAATTAGTCTACCTAACCTAATTATTTTGTGTAATTCTTCCTTTTTCACTTGTTTGAAATTGTTAGCTTTTTAAATATTAAATTATGATTGGTGGCTCAGCTATAAATTTCATTTAATCCAGTGATTTGGGGAATAGTGTTTTTTTATTAAGGTGTACTTTTGAGTCAAAAGTTAGAAAAGATCACAATTTATTGAGTGAAATAAAATGGAATATGACATATTCGTAGACTTAGTACACAATAAAATATTTCTAATTATTATTTTAAGGCAACACTTGGTCGTTTGTTTCAATTCCTATTTTTGAGTTAAAAAAAAATGTAAAATAGTCAACTTTTGAACTTAGGGGAAAGTAAGTAAAGTTTCTTTTTTTTTCCCTCCTCCTTCCTTTCCTTTCAATTTGGATCTTAGATTTTTGTTAAAATTCTTGACACATTTTCTTTAGAGGCATCATTTCTTTTTCTTTTTTTTAACCTAACAAAATAAGAACGATGAGCTAATATCTAAGGACAACGTGTCAATATTGTCCCCACTTGAGGAGTCAATGTTGAATGTATATTTTTAGATTGTTTTTTTTAATTTATTACATAAACACAATCTTAGCTGTTGAAGGGAAAAAAAAATCCTCTCGCTCCCGTGGTTGGGGTAAGTAGCAAAATAACAAAAACTAACCCAAAAATTTACATGAAATTTTTTTAAGGTTGAAAAACCATAATTCACTCGGGAAAAAAATTCTATAAAAAATATTACAGGTGAGACACAATTCTCTCCCGAATCTTAATTAAAAAAAAAAGAATATTATGTGTTCTATATCACTTACCTACCTAGAATCTTTAAACAAATTTTAAATGTTTTAAACTACGATAGCTAATAAAGTGATCGAGTCCATTTTATAATGGAATACACAGTTGTGAAATTTTTATCAAGTGTTGTATGAAACACGATAGTTCTAAAACATGTCAATCGACCCTAACAAGAAGTTTAATAAAGAGGGAGAATTTGAATTGAAAGGAGGAAGGGTAGGCATTATTATTCAACAATAGGTAGCAAACAGCCAACAAAGGATTGATACAAACAAAAGAAGTTCGATCCAGAGGAAATTAAAGTAGGCAGATTGTTGTTCTTGATCTTCTTCACATACTTTTGCTTCTAATACCATATATTATATTAACATTACATAATACATAACATTAATATTCTGAAGCTGGACACGGTTCGGTGGATAAACCCAAAACCCAAATAACATTGGATTTTGCTTTTCTTACTTAGATGTTGGGCCTCACGTTCATGCGAGACGCTATCTTCTGCCCCAGAGACCTATCAGCCTACATATAATAATAATAATAATTAATACTATCTTAATTAATTACTTCTCAATTATGTATATATATATATATATATGTTATCAATTAACTTAATTAATTTACCTGAGACCAGTAGGAGATCCAGATGTTGCGAACCTCGTGCGTCACGCGGGGATCCGATAGGGCTTCCACAAACCGCCGCACGAACCGCTCCTGCCTGCATATGCACCACCAAACAAATATTACCATTTTTAAGCTTTTTTTTTCCCACTCACCCCAAATTTTCACATCCCAGAAAAATAATACTGTCCCGCAAAAATCTTCTATGTATTTCAAAATATGTCACATGATTTTTTAGATTTTCAAATATAGTACAAAATTAGAATTCTGATTTTTTTTCGTTTCTTCGTTGTTCGTATATATTACACAGACACTCATATTAGTAGTATAACAAATAACCACATATATTTTAAATGTATATCATTCGAGTAAAGTTGTCATTTTAAAATTGAACATCTATTTTTTTAAGTGTTATGAAAAAAACTAGAAGTGGTTGCTGTTTTGTAAATTTCACTAAATATTTTTGTCATATTTGCAACTACCTATTACATAACAATATATATATATATATATATATATATATATATATATATATTTTAAAAAAAAAGAGTAATTAATAAATTTGAAAGGCGCATGTGCCATATGTTTGAAAGGCCATGTATTATTGTACCTGTCTGGTGCCCACGATCGGTATCTGTCTCCAGCTTGCTTAAAGTTATTGTTCTCCTTCGGAATCACACACTGCAAAAAAAAATTACACCCAAAAAAACAAATGAAGTTCCATCAAATTATAATATGTAATCCCATTCCACTAATTTTATAGTAAGACCAAAAAAGAAAAAGAAAAAAAAAAAAGACTAATTACCCTTTCTCTCTTTCCGGTCAACACATTGGGCGGCAAGGGGTACTTCTCAGCGTGACTGACCGGGTTATATCTCGAAGGGAAGTAATTCACCTGATTCAATTTAAATTAACCAAAAAGAAATCTTAGCATATCATTAAAAACAAGAACACTAACAGAACGAAAATTAAAGGCCTAGTAATTAAATTAAATTAACCTCTTCATCCCTATGCATGAAGTTCATGAAGCCCTCGTGGTGGCCGTTA